TTGTTTGACCTTTGGCCATGGAAGGTTTCTGCAAAATTTCATTTAAATTGGTTGGGGGTTTTGGAGAAGAAGTCGAAAATGTAAATTGTTTACGGACGCACGACGCCGAACAAAAGGCGATCGCAATAGGTCACTTGAGACTTTCTAGGTGACCTAAAAAGCCATAACTCCTTAAATAGGGTCGAAATGAAAAAAAATATCCTACCCTTACGCACGACACCAGGGGGTAATTACGTATACCATACTTGTAAACTTTCATGGAAATCGGCCCAGAATTTTATCAGGCAGACAAATTTTTTTTCAACAAAGGGACAAAAACCCCCCCACCCTTTTTAAAGAGTCATAATGAAAACACTACTTGGATGCACAATGTTAGGGGCAGTTACCATATCTGTAAACTTCCGTTGAAATTGGCCCCATAGTTTTGGAGTTGTCTGGACAAGAATTTTTCAACAAAGGGCCATTACTCCGCAAAAAAGGGTTAGATTCAAAAAAGAATACCTTGATGCACACCGTGAAATGGTTATTACCATATCTGAAAACTTTCGTTGAAATTGACCACTCAGTTTTGGAGGAAATGTACGGACAAGGAATTTTCAACAAAGGGCCATAACTTTGTTATAAAAAGGGTCAGAATGAAAAAATAATACTTGGATGCACAACTTCAGGTGTTAGTTATAATATCTGGAAACATTCGTTGGAATTGGTTCTTTACTTAAGGAGTTGTCCGGACAAACTTTTTCTAAGGACAGATAGACGGATAGACAAGCTGATTCGAATACCTCCCACACCCCCACCCCTAACTTCGTTGTGGGAGGAATACTGAAGTGTACAATAGTTTTATTATTAAAATTATTTTATTATTCTTATATAATTGCATATCTTTGTCTATAACACAATCTCAACCTTAAGTAGCTCTCCAGAGGAAAGATTACATTGGCAGAATACATATTCATGAGTTATTACTGCTGCACATAACTTTAAAACATGGATAATATAATAAAGTGTTTTGGTATGATACAAAAAGAGAAAATGTATCGGTATTTATCATAATAAACATTGATAGTCAAATCTTCAAGATTATGTGAAATTGGGCATTGATCATGTTTGGCATGCTAAAAAAAGTACTTTACCGGTTCTGATATTACATCAAAATGATTCTGTAGACAGAATATATATATGGGAAGTTTTTAAAGACGTTTAAAATATAGACTACCATTGTTACTATATATAGACAAGTTGACAATGTTGGTTATATTTGAAATTTTGCGAAAATTTTGCATGTTTTTCTAATTGTATACCAATACGACATATTTAGTATCAAAATAACAGAATATAAATATACAATAAGCCCAGACGGCCTGTATTGCTCACCTGGACATTTAAGCAGTCATGTGGAAAGTGTTCTCAATCAAGAAATTTTGAAAGTATTTCCAAATATTGAGTCTCCTTAGCTTAAGAATGTTCCAGACTTGATGATTGAGATCACTTATTCAATACTGACGGAGGAAGATTTTTCTCTAGTGATCTCTCCCGAGACCTGTCTGCTGCACAGTCCCTCTGTTTATACTGGCTTAATATCTTTACTCTGGGCTTCCAGGTCATTCAGAAGTTTTTTTTTTACATATTTGACATCCAACTCCTGTGGTGTTGAAAGTACATGTAGGTCAAGTTCATTTCTTTGATGAAACTTTGTATACTCTACCTCAACATGCTATTGGCCAACTATCATCACAGGGTGGTCGGGTGGTGCAGTGGATAGCGCACTTGCCTTTCACCAAGGCGGCCGGGGTTTGATTCACCGATCGGACGTGAAAAGGTTGGGGCTACCTGCCCGATCACGTGGTTTTTTCCCGGGTACTCTGTTTCCTCCCACAAAAAGACCCCCACACGCAAACATCCGGGCTAACAAGAGTGATTAATATAAGTTGAAATAACTTGTTTTCATAATTGTTGTAAAATAAATAAAGTTTATATTTTAATTTAACTATCATCACCCCTGTGACCTTAAAAGTATGTCAATGTCATTTACTCAAGGAGACTCTATCCCTGCATGTTAACGGTTAAATTTTACATAAGTTTTTTTTTTACATATTTGACTCCCATGTCCAATGTAATTTATTTGGGCAAACTTTATAGCACCTCCATGCCAGGTACCTACTGGCAAACTATCATTGTCCTTGGCTCCTAGTTTATCAGGAGTTGTTCAAACTATTTTACACATTTGACCCCTGTGACCTTAAAAAGTAAGTCACGGTCATTTATTTGAGGACAGTTTATAGCACCACATCACAGCATGCTACTGGCCAACTATTATCACCATGTTTTTCAGAAGAGATTCAAAGGTTTTAACACATTTGACTCTCGTGAACTTTGACATAGGTCAACCCAGGTACCTACTGGCTAAATATCAACACCATTATTCAAAAGGAGATGTTTAAATATTTTTTATTTATTTGACAATAGTGGCCTTGACAGTGGGTCAAAGTCGTCCGTCCGGCGTAAACGTTTGTTTGCCCGGCAATCTCCTCCTACATTTTTCGACCGATCTCTTTGAAACTTGGTATACATTATAATCATGATATGAAGTTGTGTCTCCCTAAAAAGAATTTTGACTCGACACTTTTTTCAAAAGTTATTGCCCTTTGTTCATTTAAGTATTTGATTTTTGTCCGGCAATCTCCTCCTACATTTTTCAACGGATCTCTTTGAAACTTGGTATACATTATAATCGTGATGTGAAGTTGTGTCTTCCTTGAAAGAATTTTGATTCGACAATTTTTTCAAACGTTATTGCCCTTTGTTCATTTCAGTATTTGATTTTTTTGTCCGGAGATCTCCTACATTTTTTGACAGATTTCTTTGAAACTTAGTAGGCTAAATAATCATGATATGTTGAATGTTGTGTTTCATTGAAAAGAATTCTGATTTGACGATTTTTGCAAAAGTTATTGGCCTTTGTTCATTTCAGTATTTGATTTTTTTATCCAGAGATTTTCTCCTACATTTTTATAGCATGTCAGCTAACCACTCTTTGAATGATGCAGATCTTATTTCAATGTAAGAAAGTATATAACACTATATGGCATTCGACGGGCGTATATTGTTACAGCACCTACCATGGATATAGCACTCCATGGTAGGTGCTGTAAGTACATATAAAATTTCAGAAAGATCCATCCAGTACTTTAGATATAGGAGAACAAACTTCTAACAGAGCCCCACCCCTGTGCCCCTATGGGGGTCATACCCACCGTTTATCCAAAATTGAGACCCCTTGGCCAAAGGATGCTCCAGACTAAATAAGGATAAAATCCCTTATTCCCTATGGTAGAGGAAAGATTTTAAAGGTTTTACCTCTATTTCCCCTATAGGGCCCCGACTCTCTACCTCCAGGGGCAGGGGGGTTAGACACACCGTTTATACAAAATTGGTTCCCCATCACCCAAGGATGCTTCAAACCAAATTTGGACAAAATCCTGTCATTCGTACAGAAGAAGAAGGTATTTGAAGAATTTGCTATGTTTCCCCTATTGGGCCCCTCCCTTCTGCCCCCAGGGAGGGGGGGAGGGCACACTCGCTGTTTTTACGAAATCGAGTCCCTTTTGCCCAGGGATGCTCCAGACTAAAATAGAATAAAATCCCTTAATCCCTATGGTAGAAGAAGGATTATAAAGGTTTTACTTCTATTTCCCCTATTGGGTCCCGCGCCTCAGGTCCTAGGGCGGGCAACACCCACCGTTTATACAAAATTGGTTCCCCTTTATCCAAGGATGCTCCACACGAAATATGGACCATATCCTTTCATTCCTACAGAGGAAGAAGGATATGAAAGAATTTGCTATATATCCCCTATTGGGCCCCGCCCACATGGGGGCCAGACCCACAGTTTATACAAATTGGTTCCTCTTTACCCAAGGATGCTCCACACCAAAATTCATTCCTACAGAAGAAGGATTTTAAAGAATAATTTGCTATGTTTCCCCTATTGGGCCCCTGGCGGGCCAGACCCACAGTTTATACAAAATTGGTTCCCCTTCACCCAAGGATGCTTCAGACCAAATATGGAACAAATCCTTTCATTCCTACAGAAGAAGGATTTTAAAGAATTTGCTGTATTTCCCCTATTGGGCCCCACCCCACGGTTTATACAAAATTGGTTCCCCTTCACCCAAGGATGCTTCAGACCAAATATGGAACAAATCCTATCATTCTTACAGAAGAAAAAGGATTTTAAAGAATTTGGTATATTTCCCCTATTCTGCCCCACCCCTCAGCCCCTCGGGGGGCCAGACCCACCATTTATACAAAATTGAGTCCCTTCGACCCAACCTCTATTTCCCCTATTGGGCCCTGGTCCTCTGCCCCCAGGGGGGCCACACCCACCGTCTATACACAATTGAGTCCCCTTGGCCTAAGGATGCTCCAGACTAAATTTAGTCAAAATCTACTTGGCCGTTCAGGACTAGTAGCGTTTCAAAGGAAAAGTTGACGGACGGACAATGCGGTATGGCATAAGCTCACCATTGTCCTTTTGACCATGTGAGCTAAAAATGTAGGAGAAGATTTCCGGACAAAAAACTAAAGTACTGAAATGAACAAAGGGCAATAACTTTTGTAAAAATCGTCGAATCAAAATTCTATTGAGGGAGACACAACTTCTTATCATGATTATAATGTATACCAAGTTTCAAAGAGATTGGTTGAAAAATGTAGGAGGAGATTGCTGGACAAACAAAAGTTTACGACGGACGGACAACCCTATATCATAATACTCCTGTCAAATTTGACGAGCGTATAAAAAATGTACTAGACGGCCCATTGCTTTTTTTGTATGTTGACTGGTTGGTATACTTATTGTTTCCCCTCTTAACAATTTGAAGGGTTTTTATGTACTGCCTAGATTCATAACTTCTCTTCATCAAAGATAAAGCTAGATGTATTGTAAAGCTTTTTAGTCTTAATCTGGTAAAACAAAATGATACAACAATATAACTATATAATGGAATAAACAATATTTAATATCAAATAAACAAGTTTTTAAATAGTTTTTTCAAGATGAACCCTTTACAATTGTCATCAAAACTTGTCTTAGCTGAAGTCAGATGAACAGATCCATGTATTACAAGAGCACCAAATGGCTTTTATAAATTATGACAGCAGAAATATCTTGAATTTTGTTACACCTTGTATGATGCAGTAATTCACACATGCATCTTTCTTAACAGTCTCTGCATTTAGGAAACTACACAGGACATTAGAACTGTCCTGCTGAATCCTCCAATGTATTCTGTTCAAAACTGGCACAATGTCAATGAAATGAGGCTGGTGGAGATAAACAGATGAATGGTCTCGGCTACTTCTTCATTGGTTCATGGCCGTCTGAATTTTTACAAAACTTTTCAAGTTCATTCCTGTTGAAAACAAAAATACAGCTTAGAGTTTCAATCACTTATAAGCTAATATAAACTACAATGTATACATTATATTACATTTGAAATACTAAACCATACCATGAAGACTGTTTTTGCTCTCTTTGGATATGGGATGTTTCTGAAATCTTTTGTCTAGGGATAACCACAACTTTTTCTATTTATTGTTTTGGGACATAAACTTGGTGAACTATATTTTGTTATGCATGTACACGTATACAGTGGTAATAATACCATATTTATTTACCAAAGAATTATAACATTAGTTTTGTAACATCTTGCTTTTGATTAGGGCCATTGCTGATAATGAAAATTTTGCAATAATTTTATATTAATAAAATATTAATAAAGACTAACAAGTCTATTAATATTGCTTATATACAGATAATTTATATTACCTTAGTTGAACTGACAAATCATCATCTACATTGTCATCATCCCAGTTATCCTCCCAAACATTAATGTCCTTTTCATCTTCATCTGCGCTGTTCCAGTCTGGAATGAAAAAGTAAAAAAAGATTGATATAATTTCTACGACAAGATAAACCACTTGGTTTGGTTTGGTTTAGTATTGTTTAACGTTTTATCAACAGCTATGGTCCTTTAAGGACGGCCTCCCCTGTGTGAAGTGCATGAGTGTGTATTTTGGGAGGCTGTGATATGTTTGTGAATTGTCTCCTTGTAATAGCACGGAACTGATGCCAACTTTATAGTGCTACCTCACTGAAACATACTGCCGAAGACACCAAGCAGGACACCCCACATGGTCTCATTATAATGACAATGGGCGAACCAGTAGTCCAACTCCTTAATTGCTGAGCGTTAAGCAGGAGTAGAACTATGAATGCTCAAATAAAGGCCAAAAGTGAGGCATTGTCAAGGGAGACATAAGAAAGAAGAAAGTTGTTTAGATAGAAGAGAAAAGATAAGATCCCAAATTTAGTCGCATCTTACGATCACTTGCTTGCACTATAAGCTATCATCTGAACCACATGTAGACTTGTACATCCCCTCCCCCATGTATCATGTATACATGTTTTGATTTCTTTTTGGGCTAGGTATGCTTCATACCAAATTAAGTTGAATGTCCCTCATCATTTATTGGACTCAACCCTCTGCCCTCAGGGAGACACATGTACAATCTACATGTGCTGGACATTATATGATGTGCATGAACTATATAACTATTATATATATATATAAAAAATCATATTATTGTGTCCAGCACCTGTAGATTTTATTCTATTAGTCAGAAAACATTGCATTTCCTTGGCCCATGGATAGGCCATACCAAATTTTGTCAAATCCTTCAACATTTCTTAACTACAGGAAATTTAAGGTAAAATTGATGGCATAATGCTTCATTTCAAAGTCATCACAAATTGTCCTACCTGTAATTAGTTGAAAGCCATCCATATGATAACCCATACAATGACTTTTTAATAATTATTAGGGGGGGGGGGGACTTTATAAAAAAACTAGCAGTTACTAGTGCAATACAAGTAAGTTTTTATGGTGTTTTTTTTTTACATGTCTACAAAATGTAGCCTGAGTTTCCTCTGGCCCAAAATTAAAACCAGACTCCAAAAGTGAGGATATTAAAAACCAGACTCCAAATGAAGAGCATATTAAAAACCAGACTCCAAGATCAGAGTATATTATGCCATCAAGCTTTTCTATGGCCAAACAATAACCAAGACGATGTCTTTGACTGGAGACAGGTTTTATTGGCCAGGAATGGTGAAGGATGTTGAGGAATATGTCCGGAAATGTGACCGTTGCATCAGGAGGAAGGCTACCGATAACAGAGCACCACTTGTACCTATTATCTCTCATGAGCCTCTTGAGTTAGTATGTATGGATTATCTGAGTCTGGAGAAAGGAGGATATGAGAACATCCTGGTGATAACAGACCATTTTACCCATTATGCAGTAGCAGTACCAACAAGGAATCAGACAGCTAAGACTACTGCAGATGCGTTTTTCCAGCATTTTATCACGCATTACGGAATTCCAAAACGGATCCATACTGACCAAGGGAGGAACTTCGAAAGTAACATAATCAAGGATCTATGCAACACCACTAGCATGAACAAGACCCACACAACACCATACCACCCGATGGGAAACGGCGCTTGTGAGCGATTCAACAGGACTTTGTTGGGAACGCTTGGAACATTGGAGGATTTGCATAAGAAGAACTGGAAAGCTCACACAGTAAGCCTGGTACATGCTTATAACTGTACACGACAGGAAACAACAGGACAGAGTCCATATGTTTTGATGTTTGGGAGGGAGCCAAATTTACCGGTGGATATAGCGTTTGGTGTCGTCAAAGATGGAAACGAGGAGACTATTACAGTGTTTGCGAGTAAACTAAAGCAGCGTCTTAAAACAGCCTATGGACTTGCTAGAGAGCATCCCACAAGGGCAAAAGCGAGTCAGAAGACCAACTATGATCGCCGCATTCGTGGAGCTGTATTAGAGGAAGGAGACAAGAGTGCTTGTAACGATTGTTTCGTTCGAGGGAAAGCATAAACTGTAGATGGGAGGAAGATCCATATATTGTCATTTCTAGACCAAACAAGGACGTTCCAGTTTATGTGGTGAGGAAAGAATCCAGAGAAGGACGCCAACGTACTTTACACAGGAATTTGCTTCTTCCTATTGGAACTATTGGGACTAATAACGACACTTCCGCTCAACTAAAACCTGTACCGGCACCAAGATCATTTCTTACTCAAAAAACCACCAACCTATCATCTGTTACGCTGGATGAGGAGGATGATGAATCTGCTATTTTAGTTGGATATACAACTAAACTGAACTAGGAGACGAGGATATACCAGAGATGGATGACCCGGGCGACATCGATGAGTTGATCTCTGGCGATGACATAGATGAGGGGGACGCCCCAGAGATGTCAGAAAGTGAAGTGGAAGAACCGGAACAGGAAGTGGAAGAACCAGAAGTTGGACAGGAAATACAAGTACCGGAACCGGAAGTCATGGATTCCCCTTCCCATATTGCAGATGAAGGACGCACTAGACCAGTGCAAAACCGGAAACCACCGAGTTGGATGACCAATGGTGAGTTTGTCATGTCTCAGCAGCGGGGAGACCCAGATTGGATGATTCGAGCAAATTATCTGCGGGATTTACTTGACCTGGTGCCAGGTTGTAAGATGGATATTTGTTCAGCGATATGCTGTATTGTGACGACATAGATGTATATTGTATTTGTCAAATGATTTATTTTCACAGGTGCAGTAAGATACTATTGACCATTAACATGTGGAGATTTTCATTTTTTTGATATGTTACATATATATGAACAAACCTTGTATTTCAGGGTCCAGGTATTGATATTTTCATTTTTATTTCAGATGTTTTAATTGAGGACAATATTTTCTCAGAAGGGGGAGAATGTGGCAGAGACGATATTTGTGATATTTATATTTATAATATTACGTTATATACATATGTTCTTATATAGTAATAGCGATCTTCATATTGTGGTTTAGTTTTTTCCTTATTTTGGCCTCTTGGATTGGTTTGGTTATATATATTTTTATCATTGGTCAGTTTTGTAAGTTATCCCGTTGTCACCTCTTGGGTTAGCCAATGGTCAAGGGTTTCTTTGTTTTCTTTGTGTGACCAGTGGTTTTGGCGCGATATTTATCAGAGACTACATCACGTCTTGACGAAGCAGACAAGACAGGACACTGAAATTACGAGTACACGTAATAACCTCGGATAATTCCGTACAACTTCAAATGGCCCTGTTCCACAAGGTTTAATCATTTATGTCTAAGGAATGGGAACTACGCACAATAAATCGTGAAGAACTCTCACAGTGTTTGTTGATGTTTAATCTACAAAATCCATCACTGCTACAGATACATAAGTGCCTTATGAAAACTGGTTGAAATATAAAGCTAAACTTGTATCGGGCGATTCATCCACAAAGAAAAGTGTTGTGCTAATCTTGCAGTATCCATAAGTGGAGACAAATTCTCTCTCTAACTGAAGTGCTCGCGTGGCATATGGAGTAATATGTAGCAAGTGTTCTTCCCAATCTATAATAGTTGGGACACAAGACATTATTCATACAATTGTCCCCCAACAAAACTGCAATGATCATGACTTTATTTTAGCACAGATTTCAAAACTAGATATATGTTCTGACCACTTCGCCATCATGAAATGTTAATTATGATTTTTTAAGATACACATGCCTGCCTATATTGAGAAAGGCTAGTGGTTTATATACTGAGGGATTGAAAAATAATAATTGCAAACTTATCTAAGGCTGTAAGGAGAATGACAGTGCAGAAAAGATGTAACATTCTCACAAAATGTCAGAGTTGTATCGTAAGTTATGATTATTTGGTGACTAAAAACGAAAGATTATAATCAAACCTTCTGCTGGAAATTCTTCAAATTCGTCATCCTCCTCCAATAACCCGAGGTCCGGCTTCTTTTCTTTCTCCTCCTTCTTGGGTTTGACTTTGTCGGCCATGCTGAATTTTTGAAGCTAGAAGAGCGATAAGAAGGGAAACAACTCGTTTAACTCCAGTTAACTCCCTTAGGACGTGATGTTTCAAGAATATATTTTAAAATTTTGGAAAAAAAACAAAAATGTTCCCTTTGATATTCCTTTCAATCAAAAAATTAAATAAATTAAAAAAAATATATAATTTATTAATGAAGTCTTCAGATTCAACTATTTAAACACATTTTTTTTTCAAATTTGGTTTAATATTTCATTAGTTGTTCTCCGAAACGTGTCGGGGAAACTGTAGAACTCTGATTATGATTTCTGAGGTAAATATATTGCAGTTACAAAGCATCTCCTCCTGCCGTCATATTCTTTGTATTGGTGTTACAGCGTCGTACACTTATTTTTACTAGGTGCAAATAGTTTTATCAGATGTGTCACAGTGTTTTCCCTGGCTGACTCGTAGATTAAATACATTACTGGAGAACACTGTATCTTTACATTGTACAATACTAGAAACCTTCTAAATACCAGCATACAAGTAAAACTACACAGTGGTATTATAAACAGCGTGATTGTGTAGTAGTTATTACTTACGTACCTGTAGCTACTGTTTAACGACAGAATTCTCATTTATAGGTTCATAAAAAAAATGAATACTACTTGAAGAGTGCATCTAGTATTTTTTAACATTCACCTTTCATGAGATGTGATAGATTCAGAGAACTTCTGAACACAATAAAGGAAATCCCAGCGATTTCTCGTAAACAAATGTTGCGTACTTGTAAATCGCTTACATGTAAAACAAATGTTTGTTCTAAGTTTGAAGTCAAGTGGTTTTGTTTACATAGCCATTAGTCTCTACTGATTCGAAGCGGTGTCATGTCAACACAAAAGTCCGCTGGTAAAACAATGTGTGCACGTGGTGACTGCAAATTTCACATCGTTTTATCCCATGTGTCACAAAAGTGGTCCTACACGCATACCTAATCATGATATATATTTTGTAAACTATTATCAAAATCAGGGAAACCACGACTGTTTGGCAATTAAACTCGAGAAACTAGAGAAAACGAGACAGGACATATCAGTAGTGTATCTTATTGTTATATGTACAGTTGATTCGAAGTGAAGAGACGATGTTCGGAAGACGAATCCATACATATACACTAATTTGTTAACTTCAATGGTATTGGTATTTCAAGGGACTCGGAAAGATCCATTGGATCTTCATAATGCCAGTGCTAATCTTCAAAAGCTACATATATTATCTTAATTGACCACACATTCTTCAAATTAACTGTTTAAAATAGATTCCTCTTAATTATAGGCTCTTTTTGTGTAACCGCTTGTATACACACAGTACAAAAATAAAGAGAAATATATATGGAATCCTAACAATGCCCTTGGTAAACTTCAATAAGAACATAATTAATTTCATTAATCTAAGTTGCTTTGAATGCTTATCGGAATCTTGCAGTATCGGAATTCGAGTAAACTGACAACTATCGTAGAAGTATACACACTGTCTTATCCTGTACTACGAAATAAAAGACTGTACATACAACTCCTAACACAAATCGCTCGGGGGAAAAAACCTGCTTCTTCCGCAGATAGCTGTAAAGTATTCTCATATGATTTAAATGTCCTGACTGATTACATTATGATTTAAATGTCCTGACTGATTACATTATGATATAAAATGTCCAGACTGATTACATTATGATGTAAAATGTCCAGACTGATTGGGATGTTGAATTTACAGACTGATTACAATAAAAAGGGGAATCTTACGTGCACGTTAATTATACGCGTAATAGAGATATTTCAACGCATGCGCGTTGATTAGACTTTAATTACATTTTACATGATGGAAGAGATTTGAAGATTGACCTTCATTTCTAACTTTCAATTTTTGGTCCAAGAATTGTAAGTTATGGCCATGATCAGTCGCCTGGCGTACTTTAACTCTGATGAAATGTCGGGAAAACTCCCACAAGAAAGATGTCCTGCCAATATTGTTTCAACTAAAAGTATGTTTTTTGTTAAAACTTTTTGTTCAAATGTTGTTGTTTATAGTTAGACGCGTTGTTTTATCATCTACCAATGAAAAATCGCGTTACAAATATGACAAATAGTCTCGTCACGTGATCAAGTGTGATAGATGTCGTGCGGGTTACACACATCTATTTACTTTATATAATTAGGAGTGCAGAAAAATCACGTGTATAATTCATCCACAAATCCTCTTAATGTGAATTATTATGTTTCGTGGCACTTCAATGGAAAACACCCTTAATCTGACAAATTGATACAGCCAGATTTTATATGGAAGTTATCATCAAAGCTGAAACAACCTGATCGGATTTACGTGAACGGATTTTAACTAGTATCACGTCGCTTAGTTTTAACTTTGTATTTTTTAATGTAAAGACTAATGGTATTATTTTATAGCATATACACTTAAATCCAAACTTCAATTTCCCTGTCCTGGTACAAAGGAATTATTCAATGGTAAGATTTATCGCCTCACATTTAAAATCGAGGGGTTATTTAGTGTAATTGAATTACAATTTTTATAGACATTTAAATAAACTTCATCTTCAAAGGAAATAATGAAGATTTAGCTTTATCCAAATTCCACAGATCGTGAATTATGATTATTGAAAATAATTGTGGAGTTGTATCTATTATGAATGGACTCAACTTTAATTTAATATTTTCGACCTATACAGGACATATTTTTACTTGATCAATTTCAAGTCTACTCAGGATAATCCACATCTCCATTCTGAAACTTGTCGGGGATCACATTATAATCTTAATTCATAAATAATATACTTGAAGCTTATAGAAGTCGTCGTTATCACTAGGTTTAATGTTAAAAGGATTAAAGTCAGCGTTTGTATTTGTGTAAGTTATCTACACACGTAATAAATTAAATTAGCGGACAATTTGTTTTTTAAAACCTAAATGCACTTTGATAGTGTTGCACTCAATGCTATGGCGTTGACGATTTTTCATGACGAAAATTTGTGTGGCATTGGGGATTCAATTTGAATCTTACTTTAACTCTACTGAATCAAAAATATTTTCCCTTTCCTCGATGTATCCAAGTTAAATGCGAGAAATACTCTGTAGATGTCGATGTTTGTAAGGGTAAACGATATCATATGATGTCAGGGTTCCCCGCTACGACTTTGAAAGTAAAATAGGATTTATTATTGGTAGAAAAATAGTTTCCTTGTTAAAAATGTTTGTATGTATGTAATATGGATATGATATTTCTTGGTTTTTGTTAAAGATTGACATACAACTTGCAGGGTTGGCACCGTTATCTGTGGTAGGTTGGGCTACCGGAGGTGGTCGGGTGGTGCAGTGGATAGCGCACTTGCCTTTCACCAAGGCGGCCGGGGTTCGATTCCCCGATCGGACGTGGAAAGGTTGGGGTCACCTGCCCGATCATGTGGGTTTTCTCCTGGTACTCCGGTTTCCTCCCACACTAAGACCCCCACACGCTAACATCCGGGCCAACAAGAGTGATTAATATAAGTTGAAATAACTTGTTTTCATAATTGTTGTTAAATAAATAAAGTTTAGATTTATATTTTTAACTATCATCACCCCTGTGACCTTAAAAGTAGGTCAAGGTAATTTACTCAAGGAATTTTTAGAATACTCTATCCCTGCATGCTACCGGTTACATTTTACATACGTTTTTTTACAATATGGATAGATTGTTATTTTGTTGGCGGATTATATCATTACAACAGCTTCAGTCAAATAGTGATGGTGTCCACTGGCGATTTGGCCACTCGGTGCCACTTTTATAGTTCCACCATATTGGACCTCGAATGTCGCACTGCAAACAGAGAAACATAACGCTTCACCCGGTCACACATGCCAAATTCTTTGAAAACCGAGGCGTACTAGCTAGTAGTCACAATATTTTGACAACCGGAACTTACTAGAGGTCACGTCTAGAGGTCACATATAATTCTGAAACCATGGCCGTTTTCGTTTAAACGGTCAAACCGGTCGGACCACTGTCGTTCGTTTATTAAATAAGGTCGGACTTAGCAATCTGATGCTGCTTTCAGGCGAGCCTTGACAAAGCTTTGCAAGGCCTGCATAACCATTTGCAGTACAGACCCCAGGACTTATTATAGGGGTGTATTACTCTTACAACCGGAACTTAGTAGACGTCATATTGTTCTGACAATGGACTGGTTAGGGGTCATGTTATTGCGACAACCGCGGGACTAAATCAAGATAAATTTGTTTTTCTGACAACCGGTTTACTAAAGGTCATATTTTTTGGACGACCCGATATTACTCTAGAGGAAACATTATTCGGAAAATGGGCTTCTTAGGTCATATTATTCTGACAATTGAGACTTCCTAGAGGTTTCATCACGATGTCGTATAGTTACAGTAACCTTTCTAGAGGTCATATTTCTCTTACACCTGTGGCTTACTGAAAGTCATAGGAGTGTAACAGGTACGAACCCTGGTCACGGCACCATTTGTAACAGGAAAGAGAGAAGTGTGATTCCACCGGGGATCGAACCCGCGATCCCAGACATCCTAGTCGTATGATCTACCACTGAGCTAAAGGGAAATTCCCTCTAACATGAAGCTGGAAGGCGACCGTAATCTATGTACAATTAAAATCTGCCACATACCTATGACAACTAGCTTACAGAGACACAGTCGAAAATAAAGAGTAAAATACAGAACGAAAAATGCAATCGAGGAAGCAGACGAATGGATTTCAGATCTTCATGCATATTTATGTTTATATTATATTTATGGGCTCTTGAAGACGGTCAGGTTAAAAAAACAACAACGCATTTTCGTTACGATCGCAGGTTTCTTCGGATGTGAGCAAAGCATAATCATAATGTTAAAAAAAATCGGTACATTAGTGTTTACCAGGGCGTGTAGTCAATCAAAGGACTGAGACATAACGGGTTAACTCCAAATGCTATCGTATATATGTATTGCGTTCATTTTAATGAATGCCTTTGAGAGAATAAATTTACTCGAGAC